TCTTATTACATACTTTTCAGAGAATTTAAAAATCGGAGGCGACTTTTGAAGCCTACAATTTCAAAAAATTAGATTATTTGAACCTTGAAATGTCTAAAACGTTATCGTAATTACCTTTGATTCTCCTAAGTCGCCGTCCAAATTCGTTATTCCGAATTTTTTTATTCTCATTACTTACTTTTCAGAGAATTTAAAAATCGGAGCCGACTTTTGAAGCCTAAAATTTCAAAAAATTAAATTATTTGAACCTTGAAAGTCTAAAACAGTATCATAATTACCTTTGATTCTCCCAAGTCTCCCAAATTCGCAATTCCGAATTTTTTATTCTCACTACATATTTATCTGAGAATTTCAAAAACGGAGGCGACTTTTGAAACCTAAAATTATAATTACCTTTGATTCTCGCAAGTCTCCCAATTCACAATTACGAATTTTTTATTCTCATTAGATGCTCAGTTGACAATTACAAAATGGCAGGCAACTTTTGAAGCCTAAAATTAAAAAAAATTAGATTATTTGAACCTTGAAAGTCTAAATCATTCTCATAATTACCTTTGATTCTCCCATGTCTCCCAAATTTGTAATTCCGATTTTCTTTATTCTCATTACATACTCATCTGAGAATTTCAAAATCGGAGGCGACTTTTGAAGCCTAAAATTAAAAAAAAAAATAGATTATGTGAACCTTGAAAGTCTAAAACGTTATTATAATTACCTTTGATTCTCCCAAGTCGCCCAAATTCGTAATTCCGAATTTTTTTATTCTTATTACATACTTTTCAGAGAATTTAAAAATCGGAGGCGACTTTTGAAGCCTAAAATTTCAAAAAATAAAATTATTTGAACCTTGAAAGTCTAAAACAGTATCATAATTACCTTTGATTCTCGCAAGTCGCCCAAATTAGTAATTCCGATTTTTTTTATTCTTATTACATACTTTTCAGAGAATTTAAAAATCGGAGCCGACTTTTGAAGCCTAAAATTTCAAAAAATTAGATTATTTGAACCTTGAAAGTCTAAATCATTCTCATAATTACCTTTGATTCTCCCATGTCTCCCAAATTTGTAATTCCGATTTTCTTTATTCTCATTACATACTCACCTGAGAATTTCAAAATCGGAGGCGACCTTTGAAGCCTAAAATTTTAAAAAATTATATTGTTTGAACCTTGAAAGTCTAAAACGTTATTATAATTACCTTTGATTCTCCCAAGTCGCCCAAATTAGTAATTCCAAATTTTTTTATTCTTATTACATACTTTTCAGAGAATTTAAAAATCGGAGGCGACTTTTGAAGCCTACAATTTCAAAAAATTAGATTATTTGAACCTTGAAATGTCTAAAACGTTATCGTAATTACCTTTGATTCTCCTAAGTCGCCGTCCAAATTCGTTATTCCGAATTTTTTTATTCTCATTACTTACTTTTCAGAGAATTTAAAAATCGGAGCCGACTTTTGAAGCCTAAAATTTCAAAAAATTAAATTATTTGAACCTTGAAAGTCTAAAACAGTATCATAATTACCTTTGATTCTCCCAAGTCTCCCAAATTCGCAATTCCGAATTTTTTATTCTCACTACATATTTATCTGAGAATTTCAAAAACGGAGGCGACTTTTGAAACCTAAAATTATAATTACCTTTGATTCTCGCAAGTCTCCCAATTCACAATTACGAATTTTTTATTCTCATTAGATGCTCAGTTGACAATTACAAAATGGCAGGCAACTTTTGAAGCCTAAAATTAAAAAAAATTAGATTATTTGAACCTTGAAAGTCTAAATCATTCTCATAATTACCTTTGATTCTCCCATGTCTCCCAAATTTGTAATTCCGATTTTCTTTATTCTCATTACATACTCACCTGAGAATTTCAAAATCGGAGGCCACCTTTGAAGCCTAAAATTTCAAACAATTATATTATTTGAACCTTGAAAGTCTAAAACGTTATCGTAATTACCTTTGATTCTCCCAAGTCTCCCAAATTCGCAACTTCGAATTTTTTATTCACATTATATATTCATCTGAGCATTTCAAAATCGGAGGCGACTTTTGAAGCCTACAATTTCAAAAAATTAGATTATTTGTACCTTGAAAGTCTAAGACATTCTCATAATTACCTTTGATTCTCTCAAAAGTCTCCCAAATTCGCAATTCCGAATTTTTTATTTTCATTATATATTCATCTGAGAATTTCAAAATCGAAGGCAACTTTTGAAGCCTAAAATTTCAAAAAATTAAATTATTAGGACCTTGAAAGTCTAAAACGTGATTATAATTACCTGTGATTCTCCCAAGTCTCCCAAATTCGCAACTTCAAATTTTTATTCACATTATATATTCATCTGAGAATTTCAAAATCGGAGGCGACTTTTAAAGCCTAAAATTTCAAAAAATTAGATTATTTGAACCTCGAAAGTTATCATACCTACTTACCTTTGATTCTCTCAAGTCTCCCAAATTCGTAATTCCGAATTATTTTATTCTCATTACATACTCATCTGAGCATTTCAAAATCGGAGGCAACTTTTGAAGCCTAAAATTTTAAAAAATTAAATTATTTGAAGTCTCCCAAATTCGAAATTCCGAATTTTTAAAATCTCAAGCTTTGAAGCTTAAAATTTCAGAATTATGAATCTTGGATGCCTAAAATCCTATACCATGGATAGTGTTTGATAATCCCAAGTCTGTTAAACTCTTAAATTCGGATTTTTTAATTATTGCGGGCCCAAAATCTTTTGTTGTCAATAGCAGACGTCTTTTTAGGTTTTTTGAATGACGGAAGCCTAGAACCGGGTCATATTAACCTAAAGCTTTTGATGTTTTTAGAATTTAGGAGTCACAAATGAGAGGGTACGGAAATAGCAGGCATCGTTTGAAGTATTAAAAGTTCAAAAAATGGAATTTTTGGATTTTTGTGCATCTTGTCTTAGGGAGGGAACCAAAAATTGAGTTTTTTTACGAAGTGTCCTGGAATTGTAGGATTAACAGATGGGACTATTTGAAGACCTACAAATTTAAGTTTCTGAAATTTCAAAAAATCAAAAAATTGGAATTTTGTGGGTTTTTGTATTCGGACCAAAGAAAGGCAAACGAGACAGTTATTATAATCGCCTCTTAAAAGTGAAGCAATTACAACAATGCATTATTTAAACAATATCGAAAGGAAGTGTTTATCAATCAATTTGTAACGACCTGCCGATAATCTCAGTTTACTGTTCATTGATAGACGTATTTTATCTCAGTTTCATTGATGAATTTAACGGCTTATCGGTGACGTAGGTACAATGCATGTGCGAGGCGCTACATCAACGGGGGGACGTCGAGCGTCTCGCCACCTTCCTTTGGTCGCTGCCACCCTCCGAGCTGTTGAGAGGCAACGAGAGCATCCTCAGGGCGCGCGCCGTCGTCGCCTTCCACAGGGGGTCCTTTCACGAGCTCTACGCCATACTCGAATCGCACTCGTTTAACCCGCGCTGGCACACCGACCTGCAGAACCTGTGGTTCCGCGCCCATTACAACGAAGCCGAAAAGATACGGGGACGTCCACTAGGTGAGTGAAAGCGACGTCGGGTTAATCACGTCAGCGATCTTTCCTTACAGGAGCGGTAGACAAGTACAGGTTACGCAAGAAGTACCCCCTGCCGAAGACAATCTGGGACGGGGAGGAGACGGTTTACTGTTTCAAGGAGCGCAGCAGGAACGCCCTGAAGGAGTGCTACGCGCGCAACAAGTATCCGACGCCCGACGAGAAGAGGGCGCTCGCGAAAAGGACGGGACTCACGCTGACGCAAGTGTCGAATTGGTTCAAAAATAGACGGCAAAGGGATCGCACGCCGCAATCAAGGCCGTAAGTATGAGCCGAAACGTGCCTATGATACGTTCACGCTTTTCGCTCGGTATTATTGATTTACATTCGCCCACCACCAGCAGTCGACGGCTCGCCGGTGGAGGTTAATGGGGAGGCATTTCCTGAGCGACAGTGTCTGGTTAACCACCTTCGCTTTATGGGTTCTGTGTGTGCGTGAAAAATCGAAATTAATTTCGTTCCCTGCGGTAGCAAGCCAAACAACTGCAGCTCGGATCAGTCTTATACAGGGTGTTCAGTTACATACTAATTTAGTCATGTATATTGAAAGGCTCTCATGAAATAAATTCGTAGCTCAAATACGCTCAATGAGGTTTGCATTATTAATTGCAGCACCCTGTATAATAATCGTATTGAACAAATGATTTCTAGCACTCAAATGCTGCACGGTAACAAAAAATGAAACACCCCGTATGTTACTATAGTTTTAAATTTCGCGTTAATTCCTTTCCGTTGACTTTGAATTTGTTTCGCCTAATTTGTTTTCTTCTGTTTTCATTTTCCCCTCTCACTCGCTCTATTGGTACGCGAAGGCAACGTTAGAGCTTTGGACCTGAAAGCCAGAACAATTTCAGTTTTTTCGTGAGCATTTTCTAAAAGCATCCCTTAAAAAGGTCGAATTAGGGGCTAATTTGCGGGTAATTATGGTAAAAACAATTGATTTAATTCAATTGCACTTAAGACCACACGATTTGTCGCCTAATTGATACTAATTAAGGCATAGAAGGATAATGTTGTGAAATAGTCGCCAATTTGCGAATAATTACGGTAAAATTAATCGAATTTAATTTAATTAAGAAGCTGCATAAAAGGCTACCACGATTTTAATTACTTTAGAGGTGCAAAGTATAACTTTAACCCCACGGTGAGAGCCTAATTGACGCTTAATTAAAGTTAGAATGGTATTAGTTGCCACTTTGGAGAGTGAATCAATCGGATGTAATTCAATTGTACACAGTGTAATTTTTACCCCACTATTCGGCGCCTAATTACGTCTTAATTAAAGTATAGAAGGATAATTTTTTAAAGTATGTCGAATTTGGGAGTAATTACGGTAAAATATGTGTATTGATCGAGTTTAATTCAATTATAGAAGAGGTACATAATTAAAGAAGAGCTATCGAGATTTTAATTCTTATTGAGACCCAAAATATAATATATTAAATCAAATTAATTCATTGTAATTCAAATTAATTCACTTTAATTCAAATTAACTCGCCTTAATTCAAATTATTTCACGTTAATTCAGAATCATTCACGTCAACTAATGTTAATTCAAGTTAATTCACGTAAATACGAATTAATTCGCGCTAATTCAAATTAATTCACCTAAATTCTTGTTAATTCTAATTAATTCACGTTAATTCAAATTAATTCACACCGTTCAAAATTGACGCTTGAACCCAAGCGCTCTCTAAAAAGATTTCAGAACTTTGAGCCATGAGCCTGAATGTTTTAGAGATCAAAGTTGACGCATGCAATTTGTACCCAAGCGCTCTCTAAAAAGATTTCAAAAGTTTGAGACTTGAGCCTGAACATTGAGAGATCAAAATTGACGCTTGAACTCAAGCGTACTCTAAAAAGATTTCAGAACTTTGAGACTTCAGCCCGAATGTTTTAAAGTTGACCAATGCAATTTGCATCCAAGCGATCTCTAAAAGATTTCAAAAGTTTGAGACTTGAGCCTGAACCTTAGATCAAAATTGACGCTTGAACCCAAGCGCACTCTAAAAAGATTTCAGAACTTTGAGCCATGAGCCTGAATGTTTTAGAGATCAAAGTTGACGCATGCAATTTGTACCCAAGCGCTCTCTAAAAAGATTTCAAAAGTTTGAGACTTGAGCCTGAACATTGAGAGATCAAAATTGAATTTGTACCCAAGCGCTCTCTAAAAAGATTTCAAAAGTTTGAGACTTGAGCCTGAACATTGAGAGATCAAAATTGACGCTTGAACTCAAGCGTACTCTTAAAAGATTTCAGAACTTTGAGCCATGAGCCTGAATGTTTTGGAGATCAAAGTTGACGCATACAATTTGAACCCAAGCGCACTCTAAAAAGATTTCAGAACTTTGAGACTTGAGCCCTAATGTTTTAGAGATCAAAGTTGACGCATGCAATTTGTATCCAAGCGATCTCTAAAAATTTCAAAAGTTTGAGACTTGAACCTGAACCTTTAGAGATCAAAATTGACGCTTGAACCCAAGCGCTCTCTAAAAAGATTTCAGAACTTTGAGCCATGAGCCTGAATGTTTTAGAGATCAAAGTTGACGCATGCAATTTGTACCCAAGCGATCTCTAAAAGATTTCAAAGGTTTGAGACTTGAACCTGAACCTTGAGAGATCACAATTGGCGCTTCAACCCAAGCGCTCTCTAAAAAGATTTCAGAACTTTGAGCCATGAGCCTGAATGTTTTGGAGATCAAAGTTGACGCATGCAATTTGTACCCAAGCGCTCTCTAAAAAGATTTCAAAAGTTTGAGACTTGAGCCTGAACATTGAGAGATCAAAATTGACGCTTGAACTCAAGCGTACTCTAAAAAGATTTCAGAACTTTGAGACTTCAGCCCGAATGTTTTAAAGTTGACCAATGCAATTTGCATCCAAGCGATCTCTAAAAGATTTCAAAAGTTTGAGACTTGAGCCTGAACCTTAGATCAAAATTGACGCTTGAACCCAAGCGCACTCTAAAAAGATTTCAGAACTTTGAGCCATGAGCCTGAATGTTTTAGAGATCAAAGTTGACGCATGCAATTTGTACCCAAGCGCTCTCTAAAAAGATTTCAAAAGTTTGAGACTTGAGCCTGAACATTGAGAGATCAAAATTGACGCTTGAACTCAAGCGTACTCTAAAAAGATTTCAGAACTTTGAGACTTCAGCCCGAATGTTTTAAAGTTGACCAATGCAATTTGCATCCAAGCGATCTCTAAAAGATTTCAAAAGTTTGAGACTTGAGCCTGAACCTTAGATCAAAATTGACGCTTGAACCCAAGCGCACTCTAAAAAGATTTCAGAACTTTGAGACTTGAGCCCTAATGTTTTAGAGATCAAAGTTGACGCATGCAATTTGTATCCAAGCGATCTCTAAAAATTTCAAAAGTTTGAGACTTGAACCTGAACCTTGAGAGATCACAATTGGCGCTTCAACCCAAGCGCACTCTTAAAAGATTTCAGAACTTTTAGCCATGAGCCTGAATGTTTTAGGGATCAAAATTGACGCATGCAATTTGTATCCAAGGGATCTCTAAAAATTTCAAAAGTTTGAGACTTGAGCCTGAACCTTGAGAGATCAAAATTGACGCTTGAACCCAAGCGCACTCTTAAAAGATTTCAGAACTTTGAGACTTGAGCCCGAATGTTTTAGAGATCAAAGTTGACACATGCAATTTGCATCCAAGCGATCTGTAAAAGATTTCAAAAGTTTGAGACTTGCGCCTGAACCTTGAGAGATCAAAATTGGCGCTTGAACCCAAGCGCACTCGAAAAAGAGTTCAGAACTTTGAGACGTGAACCTGAATGTTTCAGAGATCAAACTTGACGTATGCAATTTGTACCCAAGCGCTCTCTAAAAAGATTTCAAAAGTTTGAGACATGAGCCTGAACCTTGAGAGATCACAATTGACGCTTGAACCCAAGCGCACTCTAAAAAGATTTCAGAACTTTGAGACTTGAGCCCGAATGTTTTAGAGATCAAAGTTGACGCATGCTATTTGTATCTAAGCGATCTCTAAAAGATTTCAAAAGTTTGAGACTTGAGCCTGAATGTTTTAGAGATCAAAGTTGACGCATGCAATTTGCATCCAAACGATCTCTAAAAAGATTTCAGAACTTTTGACACTTGACCATGAACCTTTTTTTCTTCCTTTTTTTATTATATTTTGTAACATGTTTCTTTTCTTTGTAGGGAGCTACTGATGAGCAACCTGTCGCTCGGCTCTGCAAACGGACTGACCGGCCACCAAGGCGGCATCGAGCTGAGCACGTTCCCCGCCAAACTTTTCGACCCATCCTGTACATTATCCTCGTGCTACAACGATTACCAAATATAGTTACTAAATGATTATTATTTTGTTGCATTGTATATTTATCGTGTGTTTATATGTATATTCTATTAAATAAATTTGTTCACATAAATTCGAGTTATGACCACCAGGCGGCGCTCACATTCTTCCCGCTATTTTCAAACTTAAGGCTGGTTGAATGGATGTCAAACTGTTGTATTCCTCTCCCTCTCCCATGGTGGGTACAAAACAATTTCCTCAGTCCTGGTAATTTAATCCTCCCACGCCCCATGCGCTCAAATTAACGATATTTCCCCAGAGAGCACTTATCTCATCAGCAGCTTGTTTTCTACGACACCCACTCGGAATGAGACCTGCAAGCAAGCCGTACGTGTTGCTCGCGATAGCGTGTAAGTTTATTCAAGTAATTAAAAATTGTTGTTTAACTCAGAAGCTGTTTTAGTGGGCCTTTTGCACTTCGTGACGCCAAGAACGACCGAACCCGAGGCCTGGACAGAAGAATTATGGCCGACAAACTACGAAAGCGCTAATTTCACGGGAATGGAAGAAACGGAGGCATCTGGAAACTACTCCTGGAGCAACATTTATGACCATTCTTCGAGCGATGTTGAAGATAACTCCACGAAACCGTTGTTCACGCAGCATGTGAATGTCACAACACGCACTGTTCACCTTCCAAATGCTACCACCTGGTGGGACCTGACGAACCGCACAGGTGAGGACGGCGCCCAGCATGTGAATGCAACAGAACTGTTGTCTTTCGTGAATGTCACTCACCCCACTATTCATCTTCCAAATGCTACCACCTGGAGGGAACTGACGGACGACCCAGATGAGGACGACGCCCAGCATGTGAATGCAACAAAACTGTTGACTTTCGTGAATGTCACTCACCGCACTATTCATCGTCCAAATGCTACCACCTGGAGGGAACTGACGGACGACCCAGGTGAGGACGACGTCCAGCATGTGAATGTAACAGTGAGTGCCCAAGGAACCACCCCCACTGTTCACCTATGGGAAGAGGCAGCTTCGAACTCCACTACTACTACCTGGAGGGAAACACCAGACCACCCAGGTAAAGACAACAACGTGACAGAAAGTTTCAATCCAGATTTTGACCAGCCGTCCACCCCCTCACGCGAACCGCACCAGCCACTCGTCTATCGCAACTACGGTCGCGCAAATGTCACCGGAAGCGGCTGGCGCATAACGGTTTACGACGAAGACGACGTGCCGTGCTTGAAGATGAATCTGCAAGTCCTAATCAATGTGAGTAACCCAAACTATCCGCCATAGCTACCCCTCGACACTTCCAGGTGTATCTCGTACGAAACAACCCGCGCTCGCCCCCTTCCTTCATCCAGATGCTCCCCACGTCACCGGATGAACTGCACGTGGAGGGCGAGTGCAACAACGGATCCTCGCTGGTCTTTCTTTCGTGCGAAAGCGCGAACCTCACGCTGAGCTTCGACGGAGGCGAAAACGGCACGTGGTCCCTGGTCGAGGTCGAACTGTCGGTGGTAAATCGCGAGTGGTTCGAGAAGCACCAGATCTGCGGTAATTATGGCGTTCGGCTACGTTGATTAACTAGCGCTTGCAATTGCAGAGTCTCCCTGTGATCCCATCGGTTTGAAGACGTCCCCTGAAGACGCCTGGTCGTATAATTCGCGCACCAGGTGTAGAAAAGTCGACGTACCTCTAAAACACGGGGAGGGGAGACTACAAGCGATGGTATTTTTAATGGACGATTTTCATGTGGAGCCCTTCCTCTCGACGGAGAGGGTTGATTTTGAAGAAAAGAAATGCCAATAAAGTGCAAAATTTGTTCTGGATTCTACCTCGTGACACTAACTTTTCCTTTGTTGTATTAGGAGCACAGTAAAGAGCCTTGTTAAACGTATTTTGTTCTGCTCTATCAGGATCACAGAAACGTCACAACATGTAAAATTTGTTTGTGCTAGCTTTTCCATTGATGTTCTCCTGATACTTAACTTTCTTTAAAATTGTTCTATCAAGAGCACAACAAAATAAGGCAGGAAAAAAGTCCTGGAATTAGGAACAAGGGGCTCTCCTGCTACGAACGTCAATGGTTAAAATTGTTGCGTTGGGGTGTAAAATTGATTCTTGCAAAGATTCCCACGTATTTCAGACTTTTTTTTATTGTATCAGGATCACAGATACGTCAGAACGTGTAAAATTTGTTTGTTGTGGCTTTTTCATTGATGTTCTCCTGATACTTAACTTCCTTAAAAATCGTCGTATCAGGAGCACAGGAAAGTAAGGAAGAAAAACTATTCACGGATACAAAGTCCTCGAATTAGGAACAAGGGGCTCTCCTGCTACGAACGTCAATGTTAAAAATTGTTGCATTGAGGTCCCAGAACAGCAAGAAGGTATAAAATTGATTCTTGCATACATTCCCACGTATTTCAGACTTTTTTTATTGTATCAGGATCACAGAAACGGAAGAAAGTGTTAAAGTTAAATGTGTTCCTGAATCCGTTCTCGCGTATGATGTGCGTGTTCATCATTAGGAAGGCAGGGACACAGTCTAAACCATCTTCTTAGATATTGATTTTCTCGCACATTTTACTCTCCTGATACGAACTTGACATTACAAGAAAGCAAGAGGGTGTATTTATCCTAAAATAAATTCGCGCGTATTTTGTTCTGCTCTATCAGGATCACAGAAACGTCAGAAAGTGTAAAATTTGTTTGTGGTAGCTTTTCCATTAATCTTCTCCTGATACTTAACTTCTTTACAAATCGTCTTATCAGGAGCACAGGAAAGTAATGAAGGAAAAATTATTTACGGATACAAAAGGAAGGTTATACACTGCCTTTTTTTGAGGCTTGAAAAAAAATTGTCTCAGATCGACCCGAAAAAAAAATTTTCTTATACAATGTGACCTGTAGAATCCATTTAGAATGTGACCTGTAGAATCCATAATTTCAAACAGTTCCAAGATTCATAAATAAATTTCCCTGTAGTTTTGTCCCGACCATAGAAGGGTAGAAGGGGGCTAAATGGGAAAAACGGTTTTCTCACACATTATGTTCCCCTGATACAACCTTTTTGTTGTGCCAGCATTAGAGAACCGCAAGAAGGCGAAGCTTATTCTCAGGTTTTACGTATTTCGTTTTCTTGATGCAAATTCGCATTAAGAGTACTTGTATTAGGATCACAGAAACGGTTTCTCTTTCAGCAATTGTTACATTGATTAAGATTTCCTCCAAAAATGTTTTTCACCAGGATCATAGCCGCGCAAGCAAGTTCGCCTGATATAAACGGTTCTAATACAAATTGCTACATCAGGATCTCATAAACCTAACGTGTGTAAAATTTGGATATCATCGCATACGTCTTACGTTCTCCTGATATAAGTTTTCAATTATATTAGGATAACGGAAGCATTGTTAAATTAGGAACACAAAACCGCAAAAAAAGTGTAAACTTTTTTCTTAGCTCTCAAACCTTTCCCTCTCCTGATACGAACGTGAATTTTAGAGACTTTTACATAAGGGACGCAGAAGAGCAAGAAGGTATAAAATTGATTCTTACATAAACTGTCAGGTTGTTGTTATCCTGATTCTAATTTTCTTAATTGTACTAGGATCACAGTAATGGAAGAAGTGAAGAATTTGTTCGGAGACACCTCCTCACGTATTATGTGCTCTTGATACAAACTTCTTTTTTAGAAACTCTTGTATTAGGAACACAAAAACGCAAAAGTGTAACATTTACTTTTAGGGCTCAAGTCTTTCGCTCCTGATACGAAGTGAATTTTAGAAACTGTTACGTATAAGGGTCGCAGAAGAGCAAGAAGGTGTAAAATAGATTCTTACATAAACTTTCACGTTGTTGTTCTCCTGATTCTAATTTTCTTAATTGTACTAGGATCACAGAAAGGGAAGGATTTGTTCGGAGACACCACCTCACGTATTATGTGCTCTTGATACAAACTTCTCTTTTAGAAACTGTTGCATTAGGAACACAAAAACGCAAAGTTATTCTTAGCTCACAAGTCTTTTGCACTCCTGATACAGTAGGAGCGCAGGAACGCAATTTTTTTCGTTATACAAACACAACAGATGCCATCTCACGGTTTATGACCACCCTGATATGGACTTCTGTCTTTGTTTTATCAGGAGCGCAAGAACGCGAAAGGAAAACAGTAGTGCCATCTACGGACTGATGCGCAATCTACGACTTATTGATCGGATTCGAGTGGGCGTCTGTCATGGCTTCTGTACGTCAATACATTCGCGACGCAGAAATCTTTCCGGTTCACATTATAAAGAAATACGCGTAAGGGCAGTCGCGACCACCCCCTGTTTTTCTCACGAGCCGTATGCTTACAGCGCCTTCGAGGACATCGGTAAGAAGCGACACTTCGCCGCGCTGAAAATTCAACGAGTTTTCCGAGGGTATCTGGTACGGAAGCTGGTGGAGAGATGGCATCGCGCCGCGATCGTTCTCCAGAAGTTCGTGCGAAGGTGGTTGGTGCTGTGGCACCTGCCGCAGTTTTACGAGGAGTACTTGCAGTGGCGTAACGAGACCTATTACCACAGGATGGCGACACGAATCCAGGCCGCTTGGCGCGGGTATAAGGTGAGAAAGGGGAGGGTTCCCATCAAGGAGCTGCTACGGAGACGGCTGTCGATCGAGCGACTGAACGAGAAAATCGTTTTGAGCATGAGGGACGCGTTCAAAAACTTGGAGAAGGAGAAAATGGAGCAGATGAACAGGGAGGCGGAGGGGAAGGTGGCGTTTATCATCTTTAAGCTTCACCACCACTTGAGAACGTACCAGCGAGAGGGCATTTACTCCCGTCACAACAGCAAGTGCGTGCCTACTTTGTTAGTTGTTCTGCTCCGAGGGTATTTTCAGACAGCTGTCCCCCATCGAAGTTTTGTTCCACTCACTACCCCTGAGGAGATACATGGACGACTTGCGTAGGCGATACTATTCGGAGGTGGGCCGCGAGCGACCTCCTCGCCGTTACATGTTCCTAGACAAGAAAATGCAAGAAATTGAAGACCTGTACAGGAATTTCGAGAGATCCAAGCCCGTGACTGAGATCTCGGTACCGGTCGACGTGGTGGCCCACGATAAACCGTAAGTGTTGGAGATATCTCAATGAAAAAGTGTCGAGGGAGTTTTTAGGTTCGATTTACTCTCCAAACCGGCCGAGCTCCGTTTCGAAAGGCGAACTCTCTGCAGGGATCAGTACCCATCTCCGCCGTTTAAGCTTGAGCGAACCGTCGACAGATCGAAGCACGTGGCCGAGGAGGATTTCGACTTGTTCGTTCACAAGAAGTGCGCGAAAGGGAGAGGTCCGCCGCCTTACTATATAGACCACTGGACGAAGAGGTGCGAGGAACACTATTGGGCCGATTAATGTTTATGTGTATCTCGCCTACGAATAAAATCAGTAAATTTTGGTGTGTGTTGGGAACAAGGGGCGTGTTACCCGTCTGAGGGGCTCGCAAATTGTTTCCTCTGATCTCTACTTATTCATTTTGTCATGAATACGTGCTCGTGCTCAACTCGCGCGATCAAAAATTTAATTCGAACCGTAAAGTCGGCGTTCGGGAAGTTTTGAAGAGGTTTGACAAACGTAGCTCGCAACTTCATTTCGCCTGGTTCGTTTTATGTGGTCGTACTTTCGCGAATTCGAACGTGAAGTGGTCGAATTCATGAACTTTATTTCAAGTACAGTAAAACAGGATCGTCTCCTTTCGAGTCCCTAATTTACGACGAATTGAGTTGCTTGCTCTTTTTATATGGCCGAGAAAATTTCATATAAACTATAGCGAATAATAGTTGAGCCCTTTTCTTCGGAGCTTCAAATAAAATTAGTGACCGTTCAGCATTCTCGCCTTACCATGGATAGGGATGGTATAAAAGCTCAATGTAAATCGTCACGCACAAATTTTAATGAAATTAATTGGTAATAATGGTCGTCGAATATGCGTTTGGATGTTTTCCCACAGAAATCGACCCATAAGTAACGATTTAGCATTTATAAACCATGAATTAGGTAATTCGGATCAACCTGAGCCTTTCTTTAGCTGGGGGAAAACACTAGTGTTGCCACAAATACTGCAATTCATTAAAGTCTTGAAGGCTGAGCGCTTTTGTGGGAGAACGTATTACCGGCGGGTTTGGGGGTGTGGAATGCGTATAACTGACAGAATGGTAGGGAGAGCTAAGCGTCCAGTACCATTGTAAAGTAGAAAACCAGGAAATCTGGGGGAATCTTGCGCTAGTTTCTTTTTCAAATGCCCAAAACCACCCTCTATCCAAACTCTGAGCTATATTCAAAACCCTACTCGAGTTTTCCTAGTGTTGTAATAACCACACTCGTGTGAAATCTATCAGCGCCCAGTTACTCAGAGCAAAATACTTATATATTCGATCGATTTGGGAGGTAAAGTTCTACACCGTTGTGTAAAGTACGCCATCCGGGGGTTTTATTTGGTATCAACCCGTAAAATACTATGGGTCACCCAGTATATTGAATTTCATTTATTTTCAATCGGTGACGTGGTCGCTAATTTGAGATTGGACACAAGTCCGCACTTTGGATTTGAAGTAAATGTTGTTCATTTTTTTCATTCTTTTGTAAAAATGTTTATCTCCGGTTAGCGCGATAAGGTTTCGTTATCGCTGCGCGAGCGAATTAAATTTCAAGATAAGCTGATATCTCCGATAAGAAAACACGGGTGTTTTGTGCCTGTTGAGTACCATGAGTTTATTAACGCTTGGGAATCAGTACCTAAGCAAAATCGAACGTTGGATAATTTTAGGGTGAAGTAATGTGTTGTTGAGCAGCGGCTGATTGATAGATCCTCCTCGAATAGTTCAACTGAGGATGCTGTCTATTTTTCCAGTAAAAATAAGCAAGAAACCGAAGCAAAGCAATGGCCACAGTAAGGGCGGTGGGCGAGTGGCGCCAAATCAAAGAAGTTTGTCCTAAAATGTTACACATGTGGCGAGTTAGGCCATTATAAGCGCGACTGTAAGAATTCCAAGAAGTAGGGCATGAGAGATTAGCTCATAAGAACAAACGTCATGTTCCGACCTTCCTGGATGGCTACGAGGAAATTGGTTTCCCGCGCGGGCGGGGATTGGGGAAATGTACATTTTTTTGGGCCATCGTGACCCCTTTCAGTGTTTGTCTGTCCGTTGTCCGTGCCATACATTTTGAGATATTTATTTATATTTGTATTGGCACCGAAAAAATCTCAAAAAATCTTGCCCGAATCACGCATGTGCACACTATTTCAAAAGTATAATTCATAATCCGTCCGTCCGTGGAGTAATTGAGGCAGATGTAAAAAAATTATTATAATTAAAACGGACTCATTGAATTTTTTTTTAATTAAATAAAAATTCAAAGAGTCAATTCTTTAATTAAAATAATTGTTTTAAATCTGCCTCTATACTTCATAAATCTCCCACGCGTGGACGATACATAAGACAATAACTTAAGTTTGTTTATTTATAATATTTTTAATATATACATACAAACATATATTCACCATTTATGAAGCCGTTTAATAAATATGTATAACTAAATATTATAATTACAGGTCTTAACCACTACATCACTTTCAAATAAAGAAAATAATTTTTTTCTGTAATCCTATCCCAATGAGACATTTTAAATTATATCGAATACTCCTCAATATTAAAATACTTATAGTCAATACTGCAAATAATTTCAAAAACTAAAAAATAACACAGCGTTTACTACATTAAACACAATAATATTGTTAAGTCTTGCTTAGGAACAATTAAGTTATTATATATTGTAAATATATAGATATATAAATTATAGGGTGTATTTGGGGGGAAGGGGGGGCAAAGATATGTGTGTGAGAAAAATTAATGCACCCCGTTTATAAATAATTAATAGTAAATAAAAAGTCGCTATCACAATACAACAATTAAAATAACTTAAACGGTATTAGAATTCGTAAATGTTATAAAAACTAGAAGTAATATTTGCTTACATACTTTGTACAAGTAACATACTTAAAATTTGAAATGTTGATTCCTTTTGTGATATGCCAATCTGTCGAAAACCGAAAATCGACCTATTTCAATAATAATTATTGTCTTCTTATCAAGTTATTCACAACAGTCAGTTTTTCATTTTTACATATTAAACGTTTTTGATAGTATAATACAAATTTATACTTAAAATATAAACTAAGCTAAGATTTATAAAAATTACCTAAAAGGATTTTTTTTTTGGAAATTTTTACAGGACGCACAGCAAAAGTACAATTTTTTCGAAATAAGCGCCTTGAAATACTACTACTCTCTACAGGATTAAAAGGGGGGAGTCTTCGCCCCACATATCGCAATAGAAACATCAACATTATTCGTCTGTATTTTTAGCAAAAAGCCTTTCGTTATTATTTAATTATATCACAATCTTATTAAATAAATAAAAACTTAACAAAATAATTAAATATCCTTTTTACAAACTAAATTACATTCTTTTTCTCGTTGTAACTTTTCAATTCGAAATTCTTCGAGTTGATTATCGGCGAGATGTTGAGGTTCTTGTCGAGCGCCGCCTCCTTTCCGACGGGCCTGTAGTTGTAGTGCATCTTGTACTTCTGGCGGTTCTTCTCGGAGCACTTGAGGAATGTGAATAGGAGGATGCCGGCGAAGATTGCGCCGACGACGAAGCCGGGTATGCCGTATTCCAAGATGCAGCTGTAGGTGCAGTCACCTGAAATTTTGCGTTCGATAATTAATTGTGGGAGTCGCGTCGGTAATTGATATGCGAAGCGGCGAGAGCGTGCGTTCCGAGAAATGGACGAGAAGTTTCGACGAAACCGTGTGGAAAAACTGGGGCAGATTTCGCGATTAAGTAGAAAGCATGCACCATCCTTTAAAATGACTCATGATTGGTGTGTTGTATGTACTGCGGAATTCTTTGATATTTACGTCCAGAGAAGATCTTGAGCTTCGTGTAGCAAGAAAAACTAGGTTTGGGACTACAGGAACCGTGAGTACAGTGGGAACTCCCTACAAGGCACGTCACTGGAAGCAGACTGTGAAATCCAACCGCCCTAGGAGGAACTTGGCCGAAACCGCTACAGGCTCCGAAACCACGAGAGCCACGGGGCCTCCCAGGTCGGATGACGATTTTTCATCAAGACTCCCAGGAAACAGGGGACATTAAGAGGATCGAAATAGGGGAGAGGCCTTGCACATCGCGTGCTCTGACTAGGCCACTGTGAAATTGTTGGGAGAGCGAATACTGCAGGGAAAAGGCGAGGCTACGGTTTCTCAAAGCTTTTCCAAACCGGTGCGAAATCTCGGAACCCCCCGAGGAACCGGAGAAAGTACCTCAATCGGGTGAGTAAGAAAAACCTCGGGCATTGGGAAGGATAAGTCATGATTGATCTTCACTTCTCCAAGGTCACCTACCTTTAAATCTATGGGGAAACCAAGGTTTAAAAAAAGTAGAAAGAAGCTGCCGAATTACAAACATCCTGAGGGATCATGCGCACCCTAAGTGCCTTATGAATGCACATGAATCATAGGAATAATAAGAATTTTCGTTAACAATACGAAAACATAAAATCCTATCAATCAAAAATCCCACAAACTTAGGAATCATCTGTGATTCGGATGTATAAAATAAGAATAACAGAGGCATATAAATCTTCGTGACCAAAAAGAGTCCCATGAATCATAACAAATTGCACAAACTTAGGAATCATCTGTGAAAATTTCAACGCATATAATTCATAAGAATAATAGTCATTGGGTATAGGAATCGTAGTGACCTGGCCGAAAAAAAGTCCTATGAATCATAAAAATCCTGTAAACTTCAGTATCTATTGTGAATGTTAGGATACATATGATTCATAGGAATAATAGTCATTGGGCATCGGAATCGTAGTGACCTGTACGAAAAAGAGAATCCTATGATTTATAAAAAGTCCCACAAGCTTCAGGAACATTTGTGAATGTTAGGATGTATATCATTCATAGGAATAATAGAGAATCCTATAAATCATAAAAACCACGATCATTTCTGAATGTTTCGTCACATATGATTCATAAGAATAATAGCCATTGGACATAGGAATCATCGTCACCAATACGAAAAAATAATCCTATGGATCATAAAAGAACCCGAAATCTTCGGGATCATAAGATAATGTTATGAAGACTATGATTCATTGGAACAATCGCCATTGGGGAAGGGAAAAGAAAAAAATCCTCTGATTCATAGGAATAACAGACAATCATTCGGTATAGGAATCGTAGTGGCCTGTATAAAAAAAGAATCCTATGAATCACAAAAATCCCGGAAACTTAGCGATCATTTGTGAAGTCATTGGGCCTGGCAATCGTAAGCAAAAAATTGAAACCTATGAATCATAAAAATTCCACAAACTTAGGAATCATCTGTGATTCGGATGTGTAAAATAAGAATCACAGAGAATCATTGGGGATATAAATCTTCGTCACCAAAAAGAGTTCCATGAATCATAACAATCGCACAAACTTAGGAATAATCCGTGAATGTTAAGATGTATATGATTCATAGGATTAGTAGTCATTGGGTATATAAATCTAAATGACAAATACGGAAAAAAAAAGAATCCTATAAATCATATAATCTCACAAACTTAGGGATCAGTTGTGAATGTTAGGATGCCTACGATTCATAGGACTAATACAGTCATTGGGCATAGGAATGGGAAGAAAAAAAAATCCTGTAAATCATAAAAATCCCGGAAACTTAGGGATCATTTGTGAATGTTGGGATGCCTATGACAGATAGGAATAATATAGTCATTGGACATAGGAATCGTAGTAAAAAGTCCTATGAATCATAAAAATCCTGTAAACTTCAGGATCTACTGTGAATGCTAGGATACATATGATTCATAGGAATAATAGTCATTGGGCATCGGAATCGTAGTGACCTGTACGAAAAAGAGAATCCTATGATTCATAAAAAGTCCCACAATCTTCTGGAACATTTGTGAATGTTAGGATGCATGTCATTCATAGGAATCTTCGTGCACTGTACGAAAAAAAGAATCCTATGAATCATAAAAATCCCACACTTAGTAATCATTTGTGAACGTTAGAATGCATGTGATTTCTAGGAATAATCGAGACCCATTGACCATAGAAATCGTAGTGAACGGTACGAAAAAAAAAGAATCCTATGAATCATAAAAGAACCCGCAAACTTCGGGATCATAAGAGAATGTTATGAAGACTATGATTCGTGGGAACAATCGCCATTGGGCAAGGGAAAAGAAAAAAAATCCTCTGATTAATAGGAATAATAGACAATCATTCGGTATAGGAATCGTAGTGGCCTGTATAAAAAAAGAATCCTATGAATCACAAAAATCCCGGAAACTTAGCGATCATTTGTGAAGAGTCATTGGGCCTGGCAATCGTAAGCAAAAAATTGAATCCTATGAATCATAAAAATTCCACAAACTTAGGAATCATATGTGATTCGGATGTGTAAAATAAGAATCACAGAGAATCATTGGGGATATAAATCTTCGTCACCAAAAAGAGTTCCATGAATCATAACAATCGCACAAACTTAGGAATAATCTGTGAATGTTAAGAGGTATATGATTCATAGGATTAATAGTCATTGGGTATATAAATCTAAATGACAAATACGAAAAAAAAGAGTCCTATAAATCATACAATCTCACAAACTTAGGGATCAGTTGTGAATGTTAGGATGCATATGATTCATAAGACTAATGCAGTCATTGGGCATAGGAATGGGACGAAAAAAAATCCTATGAATCATAAAAATCCCGGAAACTTAGGAATCGTAGTGACAAATACGAAAAAATGAATCCCATGAATCACAAAAATTTCGGAAACTTAAGGATCATTTGTGAATGTTGGGATGCCTATAATAGATAGGAATAATATAGTCATTGGACTGGACATAGGAACGTAGTGAGCTGTTCGAAAAAAGTCCTATGAATCATAAAAATCCTGTAAACTTCAGGATCTATTGTGAATGTTAGAATACATATGATTCATAGGAATAATAGTCACTGGGCATAGGAATCGTAGTGACCTGCATAAAAAATAGAATCCTATGACTCACAAAAATCCCACAAACTTCTGGGTCATTAGGATGCATGTCATTCATAGGAATAATAGAGAATCATAGGAATCTTCGTGTCCTGTACGAAGGAAAGAATCATATGAATCATAAAAATCCCACCACTTGTGAACGTTAGGATGCATATGATTCCTAGGAATAATCGAGACCCATTGCCCATAGAAATCGTAGTAAACTATACGAAAAAATGAATCATAAACATCCCGCAAACTTAGAGATTATCTGTGACATGATTCCTAGGAATAATAGACAATCATTCGGTATAGGAATCGTAGTGGCCTGCATAAAAAAGAATCCTATGAATCATAAAAATCCCGCAAACTTAGGGATCACTTGTGAAACGAATGCGTGTAATTCACAGGAATTCATTGTCATTGGGCATAGGAATCTTCGTGACCAGTACGAAAAAAAGAATCATATAAATCCCACAAACTTAGGGATCATCTGTGAGTGTTACGATGCATATGATTCATAGAAATCATTCAGGAATAGATTGGGCATAGGAATCGTAGTGACAAATACGAAAAAAATGAATCCTATGAATCACAAAAATCCCACAAACTCATCATTTGTGAATGTTAGGATGCATATGATTCATAGGAATCATCCAGGAATACAGTTATTGGGCATACGAATCTTCGTGACATATACAAAAAAAAGAAACCTATGAATCACAAACATCCCCGGAATCATTTGTGAATTTCATGATGCATTTGATTCACAGGAATAATCCCACAAACTTAGGGATCATCTGTGAGTGTTACGATGCATATGATTTTTAGGAATCATTTAGGACTACAGTCATTGGGCATAAAAGTAGTAGCCCGTAGAAAACTGGAATCCTATGAATCATCATTCATAGGAATAATAGTCATTGGGCATAGGAATCGTAGGGACCAGTAGTGCGAAAAAACTGAAATGTATTAGTAATAAAAACCCCGTGAGCTGAAGGATCATTTGTGAATGTTGGGATATGATTCACAGGAATAATACAATCATTCGACATAGGAATCTTCGCGACCAGAATCCTATGAATCATAAAAATCTCGGAAACTTAAGGATGATTTGTGAATGTTAGGTTGAATATGATTCATAGAACTAATAGAGAGTCCCCGGTCTTCTATATTTTGAGAAAGGAGAAGGTAGAGAAAGAAAGAAAGAAAGAGAGAAAGAAAGAAAGGAAGCGAGAGAGACGCATTAGGAATCATAGTGAGCCGTACGGAAAAAAATCCTATGAATGACAAAAATCCTGAAAACTTGGGAATCATTTATGAATGCTAGGACGCATATGATTCAGAGGAATAATAGAGGGGCATTGGGCATAGGAATCGAAGTGGCCTGAACGAAAAAAAGAATCCTATGAATCATAGAAATCTCACAAACATAGGAAACATTTGTGAATGTTATGATGCTAATGATTCATAGTGACTTGAACGAAAACATCCTATGACTCATAAAAATCCCGAATGTTTAGGATGCATATGATTCATAGGAATAATAGAGAATCATTGGGGATAGGAATCGTAGTGACCCGTACGAAGAAAAGAATGAATCACAAAAATCCCGGGAACTTAGGGATCATTTGTGAATGTTAGGATGCCTATGATTCATGGGAATAATAGTCAATCGACGGAGGACGAAAAAGAAAGCTATGAATCATAGGAATCTTATTTTTCGAATCGGTGACTTAAGAGTCCTTAAGATCAACGTGATTAATTACTATGATTTTTTAAACTACCTGGGATTTCTAATTCATAAGAATCTTATTTTTGAGCAGGCAACTAAACGATCAAAGAGATTTTTATGATTCATAGAAACAATTGAAAAGGTGTCAATGATTCCTAACGATGTTATTTTCATGATTCCTAAACATCTTAAGAATTGTAGAATAATCTTAGGACAATTAGAGTGCCCATGATCTCTAAACTTCCTGGGATTTCCGAGTCATAAGAACTAAAAGTCTTAAGGTCATTTTTATGATTCATAGACATCCTAAGACTCTGAAGGTGTCAATGAATCCTAGAATTTTCATGGTTTATAGACATCCCTAAGAATAAGAAACGGAGTCAAGAAGGCCAGAAGAGGCGTGAAGCGAGAGTCGAGATGTCTCTTACTGACTTTTTAAAATATAGCTCTGACTACGTGGCTGCGCCGCCTCGCCTTCGTAGGGAAATAAGGAACGGAACGATTACATCGGCCGGTTTTGGTATCAAAGCATCAGAGCCCAAAAAATTGAACTAGTAGGAGGAGAAAGCGTGGGGGAAGAGCCGAAGACCATCTCGACGAGCAAGATTACCTCTAGTCTTCGTATGATCGCTTATGCAAACGGTAGTAGATGGCGTTGTCGTGGAACTCGTAGAGGTGGAGGAATCAACCGTACTTTGCACATCTTCGGCCTCGGCTCGACTCCTGACGAGATTCGTGAGCTCCTCTTCGGTCAGGTTGTACTCCTGAAGCAGAAGGTCGAGCCTGTCCGTTTTGTTTTGAACCAACTTGCACTTGCAGATCTCGCACCCTTGCTTGTTCAGTCTGAAACCGTTCTCGCACATCTTCCTGCAGGCGGACATCGGCGGGCACTTGGCCTCGCTGGTCAGTACGTCGCACATGTGCGCTATGCACTTTGGCTCGCCGTGAACGCACGTGCAGTTGGTGCAGCTGTCCACGATCCAGGTCTCGTTGTGGTGGTAGATCTTGTTTTCGACCAGGCACGTCCTCGACATCTCGCTGGGGGTTATGGACGAGCAGACGGAGACGCCATTCTGGCAGTTGCACTGGGTGTCGCCCAAAGACCAGCTGTCACCGTGCGAGTACAAGGTGCCGTTAACCGTGCACGCGTTCTCACAGAGGTACAGGTCACAGCACATTCCCGGCACGTTCCTGGCGTTCCTCAAAATGTGCACTTGAGTTCCGTTACACTTGTGGGGCGGGCACGGGTAGCACACGCACATGTCGTCCAACGTGGCGTTGTTGTACGCCGTGGGGTAGCTGTCCGAGGGACACTCGATACACTTCACTTTTTCGCAGCAATCCTCGCGTTCGACAACCGCGACCGACCGTTCGTCGCACAGATCGGGCAGCTCGCACTTGTTCACGTCGCACTCGCACGTACCGTTCGAAAGCGTGTAGTGCTGCTTCGCGCACTCGCACTTGCGACCCGATCTGAGAACCGCGCCCGGCAGACACGGACACATACCTTCGATTTGGTCCTCTTCGACGCAGCCCTCGCACGTGTACGTCGGGCAGCACGAGCCGGGCACGTCGGTCAGGTTCGCGACCTGGACGAGAGTCGACTGGCACGGCGGCTTGTCGCACAGGGTGTAGTCGCACTTGCAGACGTCCTCAATTTTGACGCTGTCCGGCGGACATGCCTCCTCGAAGTGTTCGTCATACTCTGAAAGAAAAAGCGATCATTTAGTTTCCTCTACGTCTCATATTCTGCGCCTACTAAGACTATTCCTCTATCAGGAGCATACAATTTCAATACAACATTATTAGCACAGAATTTCTTAATTCAAAGTGAAACGGTATTCTATTCAGCTACCTGTTCACGTGACGCTACCCGTGCCTACCAAAATTATTAACTCATCAGGAGCACAGACTTTCTAAAATAGGTACTTCCAAAGATCATCCTTTTAGTATCGGGAGCGCAGACGCGTTCTCTTACATGTCACCCTATTTACGTGACGCCATCCACGCTTACATCAGCTATCAATACCAGGAGCGCAGAGGGGTTTAGATTCCAATGTCAATATTGTAAGAGAGCGAGGCGAGGCGGCGTAGCGTAGCCCTCATCTGCGCGAGTTCAAAATACGCGATGGAAGTTACACTTCTACCGTATTGAAAGAATTTGATGCGTATGTCTGAGATTTAAATGTCAATTTTGAATGAAACCACACTATATTAGGCGCACATTGTGAAAATCCTTCAATAAAGAATTTATTATTTATTAATATCCGGAGTGCATACGTATAATTCTATAAGTTATACATTCACGCTTATGTCATCAGCGACTACCTGAATTACGACGCTATCAGGAGCACAGAATTTGTGAAATACTAAAAGAGCATTTCATTACGTGACATCAGTCACCTACTGAAATAATTACGTTATTAGGGGCACAGAATTTCGAAAATATCTCAAAAAAGCAATATTGGAAGTGCCGAAGGGATCTCCTCTAAGTCACATATTTACTTGGTGCCATCAGCGACTAGAATCTTGTAAGGTTTCAAAAAAGCATCGTATCTTTCTCTTCTCTGCGGAAGTGCAGAGGTATTATCTAAGAAACACATTCACGTGCCACAATGCACGTCTATCTATTCTAAATAATTACTCTATCAGGAGCACAGAATTTCTAAAATACTTTTTATTAATATCCGGAGTGCAGAATTGGTGTTCTCTAATGCCGTCAGCGATAACCTAGCAGGAGCATGCAATTTAGAAAATATTTCAAAAGATTATTATCAGGAGCGTAGATTTTTCAAGATATTTTAAAGAACATCTTATTCATATCGGGCGCAGAGAAGTATTTTGTTCCGCTTCATTTATTCATATGACGCCATCGACGCCTACCTAAATATGTTCCCTATCAGGAGCATAGAATGTCAAAGGTATTTCAAAAGATCAATCTATTTACGCCTCTCTATGTCATATTCATGAACTGCACCTACTAAAATTACTACCTTATCAGGAGCATACAATTTGTAACACATTTCAAAAGAGCATCTTTTAGTAACAGGAGCGCAAAGGTATTTTCCGTTACTTCACCTATTCGCGTGACGCATCTACCTAAATTATTGCTCTTATCAGGAGCGAAAAATATTTTCCTCTACCTCACTTTTTCTTTTGACGCCTTCTACGTCTACCTACATATTTTCTTTATCAGGAGTGCAGAATTTTCAAGATATTTTAAAAGAGCATTCGATTAGCATACGGCGTGCAGAAGATATTCTCCTCTAAGTCAGATATTTCACGTGATGTAATCAAAGACCTAAATTACAACAGTACCAGGAGCACAGAAAAATGTCAAAGCGTCTCTATTTAGTACAGAAAGGCACAGGTATATTCCTCTAAGAAGCCCTTGCACTTGACGCTAACTGCGTCTGTGGAAATAATTGTCAGGATCATAGAATTACTAATAATGTAATTAAGGAACCATTCAGAAATGTTCGGACATAAATAATTAGGTACCTAAACAACATTTCGCATGCTAAAAATATCAGGGCTCTTTATTCCGCGCATGCATAAGAAAGCGGGCGACCAGGTAGAAGGCGATTGTGCTTTTTTTGCTCGCCGTCTTAATCCTCTTAAGTCTACGCTACGCCAAAACCTGTACCCTTTGTCTCGGGAGCAATATAGATCATTCTCGCGTGATTTACGACTCCCGATGCTGCACTCACCTGAATTATTCCTAAAGCAACCGCCGTCGCCGCCCCCGTGAAAAAAAAATCGGTCCGCTTTGTGCAAATCCGCGTTGTAATTACATTTTTTGTATAAATAAAATGTTTTAAACCCGGAATACGTTTTGTGTTAGCCCGGAGCGGTAAATTTGCGTGTTTGTTTTTGATCATTTTCAATTTAAAATTTCTCCCATCCCATCCCCCTAAAACAATAGCGTCTATTTTGATAAATAACGAGACCGAGTGAGCGAGATGTGTGTTTTTGAAGAATCTCCCCAAGGTCCCTTCGGGCAGATTAGTTTCTTCACATCAAAGTCGATGCATACTATTGCATATTTAAGCATATTTTCCATCGTGAATGGATTCGACATTAACAGAAGATGCATTCGTCAGCATATGAACATATTTATTGAAAGAAGTACCTGATATCTGCAGCTGTGCATATTTTGCATACACTGGTATGGGCAGCCTGATCGAGGCGTACACTTCTAAAAGTGATCTATATGTATTTCGAACCAATCGAAAATAATTATGGTGTCCTAGGGGCCTGAATGTAAATATGTTGCAGCATAATATACACCTGCATATTCGCATGCCGAGCCATACAAAGCTTACATTGGAAACTAATCAGTAACTTTCTTGACGCATATTTTAGCGTATATGGTGTTTAACAAAATTTAACTAGACTAGGCGTGCATATTTTAATGCACCTATCTGAATTCAGTACCATGCGTTGAAATTATTGGTACGTATGTTTCGGTATCCTAAAATCATTTGGTTATAATGCATACTTTAGCGTACTTTTCGACAGATATTACAAAATGATTTACTTCGGTAGCAGGATGATACTTAAGTGTATACAAAATGAAAATATTTCTGCACTCCTGTTGCGAATATGATAGTCTTTTGAAAGATCTTGGAAATTCTACGCTCCTGATAGAGCATATAGGTAGACGTGGATGGTGTCACGTGAATAAGTGAGGAAAAGTGGAGGAAAATATTTCTGCTCTCCTGATGCTAATCAGATGCTTTTTTGAAATATCTCAGAAATCCTACGCTCCCGATAAAGGAAATATTTACGTAGACGCGGATGACCTCACATGAATAAATAAATGGAGTCAAATATTTCTGCACTCCTGATGCTAGGAAGATGCTCTTTTGAAATATCGTAGAAATTCTACGCTCCTGATATGAGAAAATGTTTAGGTAGACAGTTAAGTGATTTAGACGAAAATATTCCTGCATTCCTGATGCTAATAAGATGCTCTTTTGAAATGTCTTAGGAATTCTCCGCTCCTGATAGAGAAAGTAGATAGACGTGGATGGCGTCAGATGAATAAGCGAGGCAGAGGAAAATATTTCTGCACTCCAGATGTTATTAAGTTGATCTTTTGAAATCCCACGCTCCTGATAAAGGAAATATTTACATAGATGGCGGATGACCTCACAAGAATAAATAAATGGAGGAAAATATTTCTGTACTCCTGATGCTAATCTCTTGGAAATTCTACTTTCCTGATAAGAAAATATTTAAGTAGACGTTGAAGGCGTCACGTGAATAAATACACTCCTGAAGATAGTGAGATGCTTTTTTGAAATATCTTGCAAATTCTACGCTCCTGATAGAGAAAATATTTGGATAGACGTGGATGGCTTCACGTGGATAAGTGAAGTAGAGGAAAATATTTCTGCACTCCTGATGGTAGGAAGATGCTTTTTTGAAATATTGTAGAAACTCTACGCTCCTGATATAAGAAAATATTTAGGTAGAGGGTTAAGTGAAATAGACGAAAATATTTCTGCATTCCTGGTGCTTGTGAGATGCTCTTTTGAAACATCTCGGAAACTCGAGACTCCTGATAGAGAAAATATTTAGGTAGGAGCGGTTGGAGTCACATAAATTAATGAAGTAAAGGTAAATACTTCTGCACTTCGGATGGTAATGATATGCTCTTTTGAAATATCTTAGGAATTCTCCGCTCCTGATAAAGTACGTAGACGTTGATGGCGTCAGATGAATAAGTGAAGCAGAGGAAAATATTTCTGCACTCCGGATGTTAGTAAGATGCTCTTTTGAAATTCTACGCTTCTGATATAGAAAGTATATAAGTGAAGTAGAGGAAAATATTTCTGAACTCCTGATACTAATAAAATGCTCTTTTGAAATCTCTTGGAAATTCTACGTTCCTGATAACAAAATATTTAAGTAGACGTTGAAGATAATGAGATGCTCTTTTGAAATATCTTGGAAATTCTACACTCCTGATACAGAAAATATTTAGGTAGGCGCGGATGGCGTTATATGAATAAGTGAAGTGGAGGACAATATTTCTGCAGTCAAGATGTTCTTTTGAAATGTCTTGGAAATTCTACGCTTCTGATACAGAAAATAGGTAGATGGTAATGGTGCCACATGAATAAGCGAAGTACAGGAAAATATTTCTGAACTCCTGATACTAATACAATGCTCTTTTGAAATCTCTTGGAAATTCTACGTCCCTGATAAGAAAATATTTAAGTAGACGTTGAAGGCGTCACGTGAATAAATGAGGGAGAGGATAGTATTTCTGCACTCCTGATGATAGTGAGATGCTGTTTTGAAATATGTTGCAAATTCTACGCTCCTGATCGAGAAAATATTTGGATAGACGTGGATGGCGTCTCGTGGATGACTGAAGTAGAGGAAAATATTTCTGCACTCCTGATGGTAATGCGATACTCTTTTGAAATATTTTGGAAATTCGACGCTCCTGATAGAGAAAATATTTAGGTAGGCGCGGATGGCGTTATATGAATAAGTAAATTGGAGAACAATTTTTTTGCACTGAAGATGCTCTTTTTAAATGTCTGGAAATTCTACGCTCCTGATAGAAAAAATAGGTAGACGTTAATGGCGCCATATGAAAAATTGAAGTAGAGGAAAATATTCCTGTACTCCTGATATTAATAGAATGCTCTTTTGAAATATCTTCGAAATTCTACGCTCCTGATAGCG